TGAGGAGTAGAAGGAAGCACTTTTTAAAAGTGTATTACTTGAGTTTTATGAAGACTTATCTCTGAATTCTGTGATGAGTTTGACATCAGGAAGATGTAAAGTAATATTCTCTGGTTTATTTCCAAGAAACTGATTCCTTAGGATGTGAAAAGCTTATAATATCATGGTTTTTAAGATGAAAAGGCTTAAGAAAGGAATGAGAATTACTGTGTTGCTGAACTAGAGGTAACCTCAAAATATTTTTGAAAATCAAGGACTCTGAAGAGCACAGATGGTGAGGTTTATAGTTCTAATTTAATAGATCAGAAAGGAAATATTTAAAATTCTGTAGGGAACTTTATTTTTTTTTCTTTTTAAGTTTAATCTTAGGTTTAACCTCAATACTGTTGGATTCTCAGTGTCGCAATAGACAGCGCTTCCAGAAGGCCTGAATTTCTCCTTTGATTAAACATAGTTGGTTAGTGAAATTTGTCTTTCAGTCATAAAACTTCATGAATTGTTTTGATTCATTTATTTTTAACTCGAAGCAGTTCTCAAAGTACACCCTCTGCATTGGATTAGCGATTGTATCAGTCTTGATTTAAACAAAAGATTCTTTTGGAGCTTTTTCAGGGAAAGGAAGGTGGTTTTAATTTTTAAGACTAGTCAAGTGCTAATTTGAATTTAGATAAATTGGGCTGTTCTTGGAAACATATAGAGAACTGTTTGTATTCTATCACTAAGAACTTTGGAATGAGTCGAATTTCATTTGGGGAATAATAGTAGAAAATTGCTGACCCACGTCAATTTACAGGGGACTTTTTTTGGTTTTTTTTTGCTTTCCTCATGGTGATTAGTGAAAGGGAAGGCACTGAGAGACCTGGATGTGAGTCCTAACTCTGTAGTTTACTCCTGAGTGATGGTAATTGCCCTTTGATCAGTTTTTTTCTCTCTAGTGTACGTGCAGGCACTCCCACTCTTGGGGCTTTGGTGTCCTCATTTGTAAAATGGGAAGGGTAGTAACTTGTAGTATATCATTGTGTAATTAATGTCACTAATGGGAGTGTGTTGTGAAAGGTTGAGTGCTGCTGAGGGTAGTCAACACTCAAGTCGGTCACTTGATCAACGTGATGTTTCTTTGATGAATCTATTTTGAAATTGCAATTTGAATTGAGCCTATTTTATGAAGGCATCTTTAACTGTGTAATATATTAGTGCTTTTTTCCAATGGGTTGCTTTAAAAAAAAAAGGTTGCCTTGCTAGAGAATTCCTGCTTTGCTTAAATAAGTGGAGCTTACTGTTAGGCTTTAGGTTGTTCCTTAAGGTCTTTACCTTGTAGCATGTAGATTGGATCATCTGTGGACATGGAAAGAGCTAGGGACTTGTCTGAATTGTTTTCAGGTTATTCTAGGAGATCATTTTGGCTATGGCAATGGCCAGTGGTTGATAGAACTAGAAACCCAGCAAAGGCAGGGACTGAGGTGACTGGAATGAGTTGAAAATGTTTGTTTCCTGCTAGCTTTCTTTGAGAATCCTGTGGGAACTTTGGAGTGGAATGGTCATAGTAAAGCAGGGAATTCAAAGAGAAGAAAATTGTTTTTTTTTTTTCCTACTTCTTCTTGTGTTTATTTTATTTTAAAAATTTACCCCTAAGTATTTTATCATTT